TAGAATGCGGTTCGAAACAAAAGCAGAATGAGCGTTTCGCGTGGGGTTTCCTTCAAAATACGGCGTCGGACCCAGTTCGAAACAAAAGGATGGCGGTTCGAAAACGGCAAACCGCGTGGGACATCCTCACAACATCTGTCCTGATGGTTCCAACTCGGTTCGAAAGAAGGGGATGGCGGTTCGAAAACGGCAAACCGCGTGGGACATCCTCACACAAATTCTTGTTCTCACGGTTCCAACTCGGTTCGAAAGAAGGGGATGGCGGTTCGAAAACGGCAAACCGCGTGGGACACCCTCACACAAATGGTTGTTCTGACGGTTCCACGTCGGTTCGAAACAATAGCATCGCAATGACACCGATCGAAGCACCCCCTCATGCCACAACAGCGTGTGGATGCATCGTAGCCATTACTTCGGCTATGCTAAAAAAGGGCCAAACTTTAATCACGCCCATGTATATTATCATCGGCCGTCGGGAAAGACATCGAGACACCTATCGGGACAACCGGCGGGTCAACCGGGAACCATGCTAAACAGCCTGGAGTAGGTACGGACTCTACGCGACTTGTTTGCCTTGCGCCGGCTCCAACAAGGCATTGAATTTGCTTGTCTAGATGAAACCCGTACGGCCGGAGGGGGGTTGGCCGGGATGGGTTGGCCTGGTTGTTCGGGGTTGGCGAGTAGGGTTGGCCGGTCCGTTTATCGTTGTTGGGAAGTGTGTGCCGTCGCGAAGTGCAAACGAAGGTATTCTGTTGGAAGATATTGTGCCGAATATTTGTCCAGATTCTCCCCGGAAGTCCCAGGCATCGTCATATGCTTCCTCTTCGTCCTCATTCGGCGGCTACCTATGTTATAATCGTGGCCATTTTGTGTATCCGCCTCATCGTTCTGAAGCGTCGTTTCGTTCATCATCCTTCTCGTGATCTGTCCTCTCTCGTCTGTGGGGGTGAACGGGGCTTGGGCGTGGCAGTTTAGGGCTCCTGCATTGCGCGGTTCTATCGACGACGCCCCAGTTGCTGGGCCAGACCTTGATGCGCAGTTTTCACACAACTTACACACTCAATGGATTGAAATCGCGCTTTTTGTATCATGTCTTATATTCGCCACGCTGGCTTCAAGTTGGCCAGCCTCCAGCATCAAGGGCCCGAGCCTCCACGCAGCGGCCGAGATTCATTTACCTTCCTCGGGTTTCCTCTCCCTTCTCCTTCTCCCCCCTTCCCCAGTCATTGCTCCCGTTTTCGTCATTTCCGAAAAGCGTCCTTGGCGCAGAACCTGGAGAATCCAGGGGTTGGCTGGGGCTTTGGCGTAGGGTGCTGGTGATGGGGTTGGTCAGGGGCTGGCTAGGCTCAACTTCGGCCGTTGCCCTTTCCACCCAAGGGCCTCCTTCTTTCCAGTTTCCCCCCGTTTATGTTCTGTCTTTTCTTCTCCCCCCCCGCCGTTGCCCGTCCCTGCGGAGGCGAATGGATACACCGGGAGAGATGGGGCGGCGAAGAAAAGGACAGGAGGAGGAGGAGGAGGCGGAGGAGGAGGAAGAGGAGAAGGAGGAGCAGTAGGAACGCGACGAGAACGAGGAGGAGGAGGAGGAGGAGGAGGAAAGGGAGGAGGAGGAGGAGGAGGAGGACGTGGACGAAGAGGAGGAGGAGGAGGACGTGGACGAAGAGTTGGAGGAGAAGGAGGAGGAGGCGGAGGCAAAGATGTCGTGTAGGACGGGCAGGGCAGGGACACATGGCGGTGCTTACGAGGTGTTGGTGGGGATGGTGGCATGGACACGATCACGTGTTCAGCTGCGGACGCAATGCTCACAATGAACACCCTCAGGGTTGAAATGACAAATGAGAGCCAGAGGAAAACACCGAGCCTGCAAATGGCAGACGTATTCCAAAGGGCGATCCCTCGATGTCGCCAATCCTTGGCAGCCGCCCGATCCGCTGCAGGATGGCGGAGCGAAGGGGATGATGGGGTTGCAAAGAGCTTACGAGGAGGGAGGAGGGAGGTAAGGAGGACGTGGGGCTGCTCGAGCGTGCCACGGCGCACTTCGCTGCGCCAGCGCTGCTCGCAAGCACTCTGCCACGGGGCTCACCCGCGGTGCGCCGTTTTGCGCTCGGCGAGCGGCCCGTTGCCAGCGGTGCCGCCAGGACGCAGGGAGGCTCGGCCCGAGCGCGCGGGCTCGCTGGGCGTGCCGTCCTCGTCGTCCTCCTCCTCCTCCTCTTCCTCCTCCTCCTCCTCCTCCTTGTCCTCCTCCTCCTCGTCCTCCTCCTCCTCCTCTTTCTCCTCTCTATCCTCCTCCTCCTCCTCCTCCTCCTCCTCCGAGCATGCCAGCTCGCACGTGGAATCTTTTCGCAGTGCCAGAGGTTTCGCCGGGAAGCTCATGCCAAGCGTGCTGGCTCGCGTTCGGCGGTCAGCTGCAAGGAAGTTCTGTCCGAGCGTGTGGGGTCGCTGTTGGCGCGCGCGCCCTTGCCTGAAAGGGTTGGCCGGGGTTGGCTGGGGGGTCGGCGAGGGTAATCTTTCGATCGGTCATCCTTTCCGCAAGACACCGTATTATTTTGGAGACCATTTCTTCATTGCTTGGGGCATGACGGGTGTCATGGCCCCCGCCCTCCCCCCCCCAAATGACGCAACGCTCCCCCCCCAGTGCGCTCCGGGCACTGCCGCCGTGCGCATTGGGATCCGCGTAGGTGTCAGCGCAGGAATCCGCATAGGAGTGTGGTCCGCAGTCGTCGTCGTCGACGTCGTCGTCGTCGTCGTCGTCGTGGCTCGTGGCTCGTGGCTCGTCGCTCGTCGCTCGTCGCTCATCGTCGTCGTGCGCGCGGACGCGGCTGGAGCCTGTTTTTTAATTCCGGGCCGATGACGGCAATCATTTGGGGGGGGGGACGGGGTCGATGACGTCACGCTTCGCGCCGGCGGCTCCTGGGAATGCTTAGGAATGACAGAGGACGGGTGGCACCAGCATGTACGTGGCGATTTGCACCACAACGCCTGTGTACACCTCAGTGCCTGCGTGCACCACAGCGCCTGTGTACACCACGCCGCCTATGTCCACCACAGCAGCCGCGTGCAACACAGCGTCAGTTTGTGCCACCGCTCGCGCAGGCACAACAGCTTTTGTGTACACCGCAGCGCCTGCGTACACCACATCAGCCGTGTGCAACACAGCAGTGTACACCACAATGCTTGCGTGCATTGCAGTGCCTGTGTGCACCACGGCGCTTGTGTGCACCACAGCAACCGTGTGCAACACAGCACCACTGTTGCATGTAGAATGTAAGAAGGAATCGTTCTGACAAAATGGACCTTTTGTGGATTCCACCGAAGACACCAGACAAGATTCCTTATGGACACGGGAGCGCCAGGGGAATCTACGAGTCCTTCCGAGTTCGCCCGCGTCACCGTAATTCCTCCCATCTGCGTCCAGGGGGCTCCAGCTAAATTTGCCGTCCGAGAACCAAGTGGGCCGATTCGAAGGAACAATTCTGTGGTGCACGCTGAGTTGCGCACGTGCGCTGTAGCGCCAACCCGCACGACAGGGGGTAAGGAGGAGGAGGAGGAGGAGGAGGAGGGGGAGGAGGAGGAGGGAGAGAAAAAGGAGGACGAGGAGGAGGAGGAGGAGGAGGTGGAGGTGGAGGAGAAGGGAAGAGGGAAAACCGTCGCATTCGATTATCAGGACTTTCCTGGCGTGGCGCTTCCGCAGCAGATCCTCACGTACAGGCTCCTTCTACCTGTCCTATGCACGCAGGCACTGTGGTGTACAATAGCGCTGCGTTGCACGCGGATGCTGTGGTGTAGACAGGCGCTGTGGCGTGCAGAGGCGCCGCGGTGCACGCAAGCATTGTGGTGTACACAGGCGCTGTGTTGCACATGGTTGCCTCCGGTGTGCACATATACACGGGCGCTGTAGTGTACGCAAGCACTGCAGTGTACACAGGCGCTGCGTTGCATACGGATGTTGCAATGTACGCAGGCGCTGTGGTGTACACGCGCGCTGTGGTTCACGCGAGCGTTGTGGTGTACACAGGCGCAGGGGGGCAGACCGCCACCTACATGCTGCTCGCGTCGTCGTCGTCGTCGTCGCTTGTCGCTCGTCGCGTCGTGCGCGCGGGCGCGGCTGTGGTGCCGGAACCAGACGGCGGGGGGGGGCGTTACGTCATACCCCCCCGCCCCCCCCCCCCATGACGCATGTCATCGCCGAACATAAAGAAACTCTCTCTTGTCTCTCCACATATACATATACACCATATGGTGTCTATTCGTCCATCCGTCTGTTGGTATCTGTTTGTATCTCTCTCTATATATATATGTATATAGATATGAATATCCACCGTTAGATATCCAAGCCAGTTGTACCACGCCCCGTAGCATCCCATCGAAACGTGCAGCTGCATCTCGAAGGGCCGGTTAGCGCAGGCGGCTTGACGCACGGGTGACTCCGTATTTGCAGTGACCATTCTGCAGTTCGCTGGCGTGGGCTACCCCATCTGATGACCTTGAGTCCTGCCTCGACTTCGCCCGTGATGAGAAGATGTCCCGGCATATCTCAGGAGGAAAAAAAACACACACACAATTAATCGTCGATCCCCAGGAAAGTACGGGAAAATGTGGAAAGTGGGGGGGAAGACAAAAACACAGAAGATATGGGAAAACATGGGAATCTTGATATTTGTGTGTAATTTGTGTGTCCTGTCCCAGGGCCCCTTCAATATCGTGGTACGCGGGGTCCCGTCCACGGAGGCCTGAGGACCCGACGCGGCATCCATCCGGCGCAGGGTCTGACCGAGTGATTTTTCCCAACAGTACAGGCCAAAGGGTGGGGCTTGGGACGCCCATGGATGAATACGGCATTCGACCCCATGCGAGGATCCGGCGCGGAGCTGAGCGTGGGGGGTGGAAGTCCAAGCTGATTTCCCCATGGAGAGAACACGCAGGCCGTTCCATTCTGAAGTCGCGCCCTTCGAGAGCACGCCCGGCGGCCTGCACGGTCGGGGGGACGGCCTGAGGTCCCCGGCATGTTTGACTTCATCTTTTCCTGCCTCGTGGGCACCGGCGTCGGCACCTACAAGAAGGATGCGCTGGAACCGTGCCTGTCCAAGACCTTCAAGGCCATCGTGGCAGGTGCTGCTTGTCTGCTGTAGCCAGAGAGCGCGAGCGATGATCATGGGAGGGGATGTGGAAGATCTAGCATTAGCGGAGAGGTTGGCAATGGTGACGTTCGGGGGTCAGCGCGCCGGTCGTTTCCCGTGCTTCTGGGGTGGGACGTCATCAATGCAAGTACGAGAGTTCCTGGGTCCTGGCTTGTAGTTCCACCATGTGATGACGATAACTTGGGCCCTTACTGGAGATGTCGGAGGTCTCTCGTGGATGTCTCGTGTTTTTTGGAGAGGGCCGAGGTGGAGGAGGAGGAGGAGGAGGAAGAGGAGGAGAAGGGGGAGGAGAAAGACGACGAGCCCTGGACGATCACGAGCATACTGACAAGGAGCGGGTCGAGGACGAAGATGAGGATGTGGAATCGGAGGAGAAAAAAAAAGATAAAGGAAGAGGAAGAGGAAGGAGAGTAGGTTCTGGAGGCGGAGGCGCAAGAGGAGAAGGAGGGAGAAGAGGAATGATATGAAGAGGAACAGTTCCTGGAAGAGGAGGAGGACATGGAGGGGAACGGAAAGGACGAGGAAAAAGACAATGAGAAGACGGCGAAGGAGGGAGAGGCCTTCCGAGAGGCCTCCCGGGGACCGCCCAGACGGGTTTTTTGAGGGCCTCTTGAACCAAGTGATGATGATAATGATGATGATGATGATGATGATGATGATGATGATGATGATGATGATGATAATGATGATGATGATGATGATGATGATGATGATGATGATGATGATGATGATGATGATGATGATGATGATGATGATGATGATGATGATGATGATGATGCCATCTAATGAAATGTCGGTGGCGTCTCGGGGCCTCTGAAGACCACCCTGGCCATGGGTCCACTTGGGCAGTTGAGGGGAGGGGAGGAGGAAGGGGAGGAGGAGGATGGAGGAGGCCGGGGAGGAGGGGAGGAGGAAGGGTAGGAGGAGGAAGGCGATGAGGAGGGGAGGAGGAAGGGGAAGAGGAGGGGAGGGCAGCTTGGAGCTGGCCAGGAAGGGGAGGAGGAGGAAGAGGAGGAGGAGGAGGAGGACCAGTGTAAACCCAAGAATCATCAACGATGTTGGAACTAACCCTCCCTCCAAGCTCCCTCTTCATAGCCCCTTCAATGGTTCATTTGCATTGAGGGAACTGCCCTGTTGGAAGACAACCGTTTGAAGACCTTGAAGCATGCAAAAACCTGGTTCTCGGGATTTCCACGCCACGGATTAACATGACTGCTGCGTCCTGACGATCTGGAATCGTGCCAGAACGCAATTTTTGGGACTCCAACACCGCGAATGAACATAATGGCTGCACCCGCTTAATCCTGAAACCTTCCAAAACGCAATTTCTAGTACGTTGGTCTTTGGAATCCGTGAAACTCTTGCAAGTTGTTGAGCCGAATATGCGAGGCGCTAAGGCTAGAGCCACATTTTGAAAAGGAGCCGCCCTCAATCCGTGAAACTCTTGCACATCTTTGTAACGAATGTGCGCGGCTCTCAGGCGAGAGCCACATTTTGAAAACGACCCGCCCTCAATCCGTGAAACTCTTGCAACATTTTAAAACTAGTGTGCGCGGCGCTTGGGCGAGTCCACATGCTGAAAGCCACCCGCCCTCACTCCGTGAAGCTCTTGCAAATGTTTAAAACGAATGCGCACGGCGCTGAGGCGACAGCCACATTTTGCAAACCACCTGACCTCAATCCGTGAAACTCTTGCAAGCTTTTTGCAACGAATGTGCGAGGCGCTCAGGCGAGAGCCACATTTTGAAAACAACCCGCCCTCCATCTGTGAAACTGCTGTCATTCTTCATGCTCAGAATCGTAAATGGTGAAGAAGTCTCAGGCGAAATGCCCGGCCCGCCCTAACCACCGGCTTCGGGGTGCGACAGGGAGAAGATAGTTGTAAGGAAAAGGAATGAAGGAGGAGGAGAAGGAGGAGGAGGAGGAGGAGAAGGAGGGGGATGAGGAGGAGGATGGGGAGACAGGAGCAGGGTCGAGGGAGGCTTGGACGGGTTCTCTCGTTCTCCCTTTGGGGGAGGAGGAGGAGAAGGAGGAGGAGGAGGAGGAGGCGGAGGAGGAGGAGGAGGAGAAGGAGGAGGAGGAGGAGGAGGAGGACCAGTGTAAACCCAAGAGTTATCAACGATGTTGGAAGAAACCCTCCTTCCAAGCTCCCTCGTCATAGGCCCCCACAAGGGTTCATTTCCACTGAGGGAAGACAAACGTTTGAAGACCCTGAAGCATGCCAAAACATGATTCTCGGGACCCCAACGCCACGGATCAACGTGACTGTTGTGTCTTGACGATCCGGAATCGTGCCAAACCGCCGCTCATGCGATTCCAACACCGCGAATCAACATAACTGTTGCGCCCTCATACTCTTCAATTGTCCCAAAACACCGTTTCTGGTACGTTGACTGTGTGGGAATCCGTGAAAACTTTGCAGTTTTGAAAAGGGAATGCGCGCGGCGCTAAGGCGACAGCCACATTTTGAAAAGGAATCGCCCTCAATCCGTGAAGCTCTTGCAAACGTTGAAACCTGAACGGCGCTGAGGCGAGAGCCACATGTTGAAAACCACCCGCCCTCAATTCGTGAAGCCCTCCAAATGTTTCAAACGAGTGTGCGCGGCGCTAAGGCGAGATCCACATGTTCAAGCCACCCGCCCTCTAGTTGTGTTTGTTGCCCATGTTTTATCTTCAGGGTCATAAATGGTGAGGAAAGGAAGTCTCAGGCGAAACGCCTGGCCCGCCCTAAACACCGGCCTCGGGGTGCGACAGGGAGAAGTTACTGGTAAGGAAAAGGAGTGGAGGAGGAGGAGGTTGAGGAGGAGGAGGAGGAGGAGGAGGAGGAGGAGAAGGGCTGACACACGCACTGTCCTCTTAAGGAGGGTCGATACACGTACTGTCCTTTCCTTGTTTCCTCCGCCATTCATGTCTCTCCCCGCACGAGCACGTCCCAAACTGCTCGGAAACGAAACGAGGAGGAGAAGGAGGAGGAAGAGGAGGAAGAGGAGGAGGAGAGGGGGAGGAGGAGGAATGGAGGAGGAAGAGGAGGAAAGGAGGAGGAGGATGAGGAGGAGGAGTAGGAGGAGGGGGAAGAGGAGGAGAAGGAGGAAAAGGAGGGAGGAGGAGGAGGAGGCGGATTGGCAAACAGCCTCCCTGCAAGAGGGCTGAACGGCGGTCCGAAGAGGGAGCATGCTGGTTCGCCCAGGGGAGGAGACAGGCAAGGGGGAGGGAAGTTGCACAGAAAACATGCGCGCCAGGCATCAAGAAGGCGACGCTGGTCCCGCCCGGCTGCTCCTTTTACGCCCTGTCGCTCGGAGGCGGTGTCGAGTATGGCCCAGAATGGCCGCAGCGTCGTCCCTCGGATCATTTCCCAAGGACCTTCCACGCTGGGCAGAATTCGGTGCGAAGCCATGTTCGAATGATAAGCGGCAGGGGCAGGTGGAAATATCAACTATGGAGTGATGTCCACGTCATGCTCCAGTGAGACTAACTACGGCGATGGTGAGCGTTGCTTCGAGCACAGCGGCCCGAGACGATCCCATCCACGCACCCGAATATCGATATACTGAGTTCCCGCCATCGCAACCATCAGAAGCGAAGCCATAATTTCATCGAATGGCCTTCGGCCCATCCCGCCACCGTGACTGCTTGGTGGGTCAGAGTTCTCAGGGATGCTTTTTGGGGTATCTTCGGAGCGCTCTCGGGGGCCTCGTGGGGGCCTCTTGGGGGCCTCTTGGGGCCTCCTGGGGGAGAGGCCTCATGGGAGGCACAAGTTATAAGTTTTCTTTGGTCTCGGTATTTTTTCGCATATTCGGTTTCTCGGTCTCCAGAGCGCTCGAGACGGCCCGAAAAGGCACCCGAGACCGCTTCAAGATGGCCCAATAGGCGCCCAAGAGGGCCTGAGCCCAGGACGGCGCAAGAGGGTCCCAAGAGGGCACCCGGAGGGGCCCCAGACGCCCCAAGAGGGCCCCAAGACAGCCCAAGTTGGCCCCCAGACCGCCCTAAAACAGGCCCATGAGGCCCCCAATATTGCCTTCAGGGGCCAAGACTGCCTCAGAGGGCCCCAAGACGGCCCAGGAGGCCCCCGCGACGACCCGAAAACGGCGGCAAGGGACCCCGAGGAGGGTCCACTCGGGACTCTGCAGCAGTACGGCAACAGTCAGAAAATCAGTAGACACACGCCTTATATATATATATATATATATATATATATGTATATATATATATATATATATATGTATATATATATATATATACACATTACACACATGTGTGAAAGGATATGGAATAGGCAAGTGCTGTTATGTCCCAGCCAGCCTGCGGTCTGGAGCCCTCGCTTTGAATCCGCCGCTCCGCGCGCCTCACCCTGCTCTTGCTCCCCTTGCCTCCCATCCATGCCCCGGCCCCTTCGCGCTGCAATTGCGGCACACCCCTCACTGTGGTGGCCCCATGCCATGGGGAGCTACGGACGGCTACAGTGGCAGCGTTCGCATGGCGGCATCGGGCCCAGGGCGGCACACCTCTGAAACGCTTCGTGGCCTCATAGGGAGCTCCACCGAAGGCCCCAGTGGTAGCGGTCGCGTGGCGGCCTCGGATGCCTTCTGGCACACCCATCACACGAGTCGTGGCCCCATAGGGAGTTCCACCGCAGGTCCCAGTGGTAGCGGTCTCGTGGCGGCCTCGGGTCTGTTGCGGCGCACCCCTGACACGCGTCGTGGTCCCAGTGGGAGCTCCACCGAAGGCCCCCCTGGCAACGGTCGGATGGCGCCCCCGCCCCAGCTCGGTACACCCCTCTCGCGCTTCATGGCCCCACAGGGAGCCCCAGTGCAAACGGTCGCATGGCGGCCCCGCCCCATTCAGCACACCCCTCACGCGTTTCATGGCCCCATGGGGAGCTCCACCGAGGGCCCCAGTGGAAACAGTCGCATGGCGACCTCGGGTCCATTTCGGCACACACGCTGCGTAGCCCCATAGGGAACTCCGTCGAGGGCCTCAGTGGCGTCCCCGCATGGCGGCCCCATTTCGGCACACCCCTCACGCGCTTCCTGGCCCCGTTGGGAGCTCCGCTATCTTTGTGGCTCCAGATAGAGCTTCGCCGAAGGCTTCAGAGGCAACGGTCGCATGGCGGCCTCGGGCCATGTCTGGAAAACTCTCACGCGTTTCGTGGCCCCGCGGGGAGCTGCTCCGAATGATGGGTCGATCTACGATAGGCAGGAGGAGGGGGAGGAGGAGGAGGAGGAGGAGGAGGAGGACCAAATCAAACCCAAGACCCATCAACGATGCTGGAATGCACCCTCCCTCCAAGCTCCTTCTTCATAGGTCCCTACATGGCTTTTGTCCACCAAGGGAACTGCCTCGTTGGGAGGCATCCGTTCAAGCGTGCCGAATTATTTTGCTCCGAGCGATCCCCACCGTATGTTCCGTCAGGCTTCGTTAGGCTTCGTTATGCCATGGTACGTATGATACGTTTGTTCCGTCAGGCTTCGTTATGCGATGCTATTGCCTGTAATGTTGTTCAGGGCATGCGCAGCTTGTTCTAGTTATTTACATGCAGTCATCGCCAACCATGTTATATCTGAATCGTTGGCGCAGGGGTAGCAGTAGTACAACGCTTATGTTCTGTTGTGCTGGTTACGATGTGCTCTATTCGCCATGTTCTTCTGAATCAATAGTGTTAGTTTACGTTGTGCTCTATTGTGTCTGGTTTGTTCTTGACGGGCTTGCGTGACGCCGTGACGTCTGTCACGATAGATACGTCGTCCGGTCGTTCGTTGCTGCGCCTGTTTGCTCTTGTGGCCAGCCTGCCCTCGGCGCGCACGTCTCGTTTGCTTATATTGTAGTGTGATGAAATGCTTTGTCCTGTTACGAAATGCCGTGTTCCGATGTTTATATCATGATGTGGTGTGCCAGTGTGTGAACTGCTATGCTCTGCTATGCTACGCTATGGTCTGGTATGCTCTGCCCGTGCCTGCTATAGTATGTGGTGTTATGCTATGCCCTGCATGCTCCATTAGTATGTGGTGTTCTGTTCTGGCATGTGGTGAAACGGTATGCCTTGGTCTGTTATGGTGTTATGATATGCCATATGATGCAATGCTATAATGTGTTATGGCGCACTCTTGCATGGTGCCGCGGTGTGATGTGTTACGGCATGGTATGCTATGGCGTGATATGTATGGCATCGTATGTTATTGTATGCCATGCTATGTTTTGTTATCGGGTGTGGTGTGATGAGATGGTCATTATGATACGTTATACTATGCTATGTACTGCTGTGGTGTAAATAACTTCGCGTGCTCTGTCATGCTATGGTATAGCATATGTGCTGCGATGGTACCTGCCATGCGATGGGTGCTGCGATGTTGTGTCATACTAAGATGGGTTATGCCGCGGCATGTTGTGTTATTGGATTGCATGTCATGCTATGAGATGGTACGCTATGGCATGGCATGGTATGTGTGTTCCGATATGCCATCTATTGTGTTGGTATGCTTTGTTGTGTTGTGGTAGGAAGTGTCGTATTATGTGAGGCTGTGGGATGTTCTGTGTGGTATGTTCAGTTATGTGATGTGGCATTGGCATGCTATGTAATGATATGGGTTGTTCTGCTGTGCAGTGGTATACACTGCTCTGTCATGGTGTTTTCTGTCCATATATGTTACGTCACGAGATGGAATGTTATGCTCGGATATGTTCGGTTAGGTGGTGTGGTGGTATGCGCGGGGCGGGACACTCGGGGATACTCGGGGGACTTGGGGATTTGGCTATGCAGGTCTGACGGGTCGGGAGGCGGGAGGTATGTTTTTAAAATCTTACGACCCCGACCTCTCGGATGGGGAAACACCGTGTTCGGGACTCAAACGCCACGAATCAGCATGATTGTTGCGTCTTGACGTTATGGAATCGTGCCAGAACGCCGTTCTTGGTATTTCAACACCGCGAATCAACTTGATTGTTGCGCCCTCACAATCCTGAGCCCCTCCTAAACACTTTTTCTGGCAAGTTGGCCATGGGAGTCCATAGAACTCCTTGCACATGTTTAAGACGAGTGTGCGCGGCGCCAAGGCGAGAGCCACATTCTGGCGAGAGCCACAATTTGAAAATGAGCCGCCCTAGATTCGCGAAGCTCTGGCAAATGTGTAAGACTAATGTGCGCGGCGCTAAGGCGAGAGCCACAGGTTGAGAACGACCTGCCCTCAATCTGTGAAGCCCTTGCAAATGTATGAAACGAATGTGTCAGGCGCTAAGGCGAGAGCCACATGTTGAAAGCCACCCGCCCTCAATCCGTGAAGCCCTGCAAATGTGTGAAACGAAAGTTCGCGGCGCGAAGACGAGAGTAACATTTTGAAAACGACCCACCCTCAGTCCGCGAAACCATGCGGATTCTGAAAACGAATGTGCGCGGCGCTTATGCGAGAGCCACCGTTTGAAAACCACCCGCCCTCCATGTATAAGTTTGTTGCCATTTTTCAGCTTCAGGGTTATAAACGGTGTGGAAGTCTAGGACGAAACGCCCGGCCCGCTTTCCGATCGGCCTCGGGGTGCGACAGGGAGGAGTTGTTTATATGTCGAAGGAATGGAGGCAAAGGAGGAGGATGAGGAGGAGGACCTTCCCATCTTCCATTCTTCCCCGTCCTACCTATAGTAGTGGTGATGTAGAATTGGCCCACCAGCGAGGCCCCAGTAGCGACGGTCGCATGGTGGTACTGTCAATTTCTGGTACGCCCCTCGCACGCGTCTCGTGGCCCCGTGTCGGCACACCCTTCGCGCACGGGGCGATTTTGGAGGAGTGCGGAAGCCTCCGCCGCATTGCCGGGCTTCGCCGAGTTCCTCCATGAGTGCCCACTACTTGCCAGACCACCCCAACCCAACGCGAAGGTGCCAGACCCTCCCAGAATTCGGGTTGGGGGTGTGCGGATTCCATCGTGTTCCCTCCATGTTCTGGAGTGCCACCCCCACACCAGAGTTTGACGATCCCAACGGTGGCTTCGGGTTGGGTTGGGGTGGCTCGGCAGGCAGTCAAAGGTGATGGGCCGATGTTCCACCACCACTACCATAGGTAGGAGCCGGTGGAGGAGGACGAGGAGGAGGAAGAGGAGGAGGAGGAGGAGGAGGAGGAGGAGGAGGAGGAGAGAGGAGGAGAGGAAAAGGAGGAGGATGAGGAGGAGGAGGAGGAGGAGGAGGAGGAGCTCCCCATCCTCCCTTCTCCCCCCGTCCTACCTGTGGCGGCGGTGGTGGAGAGTCGGCGCACCAAGAGTGGGAGGCGGGCAGGCGAGGGCCAGAAGGCGCTCGGGCGCCGCCGCGCGAGCGACGGCCCTCGCGCAGGGACGGATGCCCCCTTGCACGGGATGTCCGCGGGGCGACGGGGTGACTCCTCCTCCTCCCTTTCCTCCCCCTCCTCACCTTCCTCCTCCTCCTCCTCTTCCTCCCCCTCCTCCTCCTCCCCCTCCCCTCCTCCTCCTCCTCCCCCTCCTCCTCCTCCTC